GAGAAAACTTGACTATTATAATAGGGATAAAACAAGTCATGCAGTCTGACATAGAGAAGGTAAGTAGCATCTTCATACATGAAATAGATGATCTAGAACAGAACATATGTAAGATAGAGGATAGAACAAGAAACACTAGAGCAAGAAAACGTAGCAGGATCATAAACAGAGAGGACATGAAGACATACGGAGCAGCGGCAGAAGTACCGGTCTTGGGGTCGATGTCCTCGCCAGCCATGTCGCCGAAGAGGTTGTCGACGTCGGGAAGAAGTCGTCGTTGGGGAAGTGGTCGTCGGTGTCCGGAGCGTCCGTGATGAACCGGTCAGTAGTCGCGCAGAGCGCTCCCCAAAAACCCTATCACCCTTCTACCGTACAAGACTCAAATCGGTGGCGATAGGAAGATGTTGTTCTGATGTGTCTCTCTGGGAAGGAGCGACCTCTCTTTTATAGGCACAGGAGAAGGAGGCGAATAGGCTGCGACGGGAGCTGAAGCAAAGAAGGGAGACGAAATGAACATGCAACAGCCAAAGAGTGCAGCGTTCGTATTCAATATCCACTACAACAAAACTTTGCAGCTCCCGAGTGACCTTTCGTATACCCGTCGTGCGTGGCAAAAATTTAGACATCGGCTCGGCTCATTCTGTTGGGACCCCGACTCATAAGTCGTGATCACCGAATGCACGTGTACAGTGATCCCAGAGATCAATGCTCACTGAACACACAGAAGCTGAATAACAAGAGTCTTACATCCATACATACCGTCTTACACAAATTATGACCATTATGGTCAAGTCTTACATTGATAAAGCCTTAAGGGCTGAACATCAAATGAAACACAAAGCAGTGGAAATCTTCGTCGAGAAATAGAACCCATGCCATCTGCCTTAACCCTACAGGCATTCTGACTGGGAAACGTCCTAGTTCGCATGTTCGTCTCCAAAGAACTCTTCTTCGAACTCCGGTTCTTCCATGCCTGGTCAATTAAATAACCAGTGGCAAGCCAATGAGTACTTTGAATGTACTCGCAAGCAACCCATGTTTTGGTTCAAGGTACAACAATGCATGACATAGGTAATTTTTTTGCAGAAAGCTAGTTTTGAGTGTAAAGACATGTTCAACCTCCTATAAAGCATGCATCAAGAGAGTCCAAGTAACCATGAGGACTGGTTATAGATATCAACATAAATATAGTGGGCACCAACCCATTTATCACAAACAGAGTGGGCACCAACCCATCTCAATCGTGTCAAGTCCCTTGACTTGACCCAAGTAGTTTTATCAACACACACACACACATGGTTGAAAACTCTGGACGTAGTTTAAGCAGCACCGCCCAACTGTCCTTGACCGTGGACACGGCTATTCGAATAGTTTTACACTCTGCAGAGGTTGCACACTGTACCCACTAGATCCGGGGAACTTCCGTGTCATCCACGACCCGCGGTACCTCAAGTACCCGGGGTAAGCACCCGGTCACTTCCTTTCCCTAGACGACACTAACATGGAGTCCACTCGATTGGTAGTAACCCCCGTGCCCAACATTTCACATCATAAAGTCGTGGAGCCTCGCTCCCATATTCATCACATACCACAAGCACGGGGTACCAACGGTGTGTCCGGTGCTGTAAAGACAGACATGGCCGCCCTACCTGGCACGACCCCTTCCCGAGAGAGAGCACCAACTCTCCCCCGTCACTAGTAATGCGGGCTCCAAGCTAGTATCGACCTAGGTAATCAATAATGCCCTTTCCCATATAAGGGTAGAGTGGTTGCGCATGTAAGATTGGGACAGTCGACAAATCTTAAATCTAATCCATTTTCGAAAACAACACACACACTTGCCTCGGTACACCACTTCGTCATCAAGTGGTTACCCATTTCATCATCTCCCTCGGGCATAAGTGGCACCCGACGGGGTTTTCGAAAAAGTCTTTTGAAAATACTTTTGTCTCCATCACCATGCATATACCCGTCCCTTTTTGCGTAGCAAACTACTTAGCATCTTACCTACTCCCACCGGCATAACCCTCATAAGAAGGTAGGGTCATGCACAATGCAAGTATCAACGAGAAAGTTTGGGGGCAAGCCATCAAGTGGTTACCCCTCATCATGATTCCGATGCAACAATAATAAAGAGCTATATGACATGCATAAAAAGGGTTTTATAGAAATGGTCAAAGGGCTGCTTGCCTGGCTCAGCAAAGTCTTCGGGGTCTTCAAAGTCTTCTGGTCCAACTCCTTCGTCAGCAACGCAATCTATCGTCGCAAAATATTAACGAGAAAATAAGGCAATAATAAAACAGAAAAATCAAAGTGCTCAGAAAAATGTCAACTCTTTTTTGTAAAATATTAGATGGAAATCTAAGAAGGGGAAACTTGCTAGTTTTGGATTTGGAGTGGTGGAACAGGAGATATGGATTTTCAGAGGCACATTTAAATGCTAAAAATCACATTTAAATATTTTCAGTGAAGAAAGGTTGGTTGGATTTGAATGGAAGTTACACCATTAAATATGTAGCAATATTTTGGGATTTTAGAAATTGGAATTAATCCATTTGGACAAATATTGTGTCCTGTGGAATTTTTGGAAAAAGTGACAGAAAAGGAAAAGAGAAAGGGGCACTGTGCCTGCCGGGCCAGAACAGCCGCAGTGCAGCGGCCCAGCCAGCAGGCCGGCCCAGCCGAGCAAGCGCACAGCGCGCGCGTGCGCCCACCCATTTCAAACCTGACGGCCGGGGCCCGCAGGTCAGAGAGAGAGAGGGGCGCGGGAATGAGGGAGAGGATGACATGCGGGGCCCACCTGTCATCACTAACCCGTGGACAGGGGGGCGCGGTGCTCACCGGCGACGATGCAGGCGACGGCGAGCTCCGGCGAGTGCGGGGATGGCTTCAGGGGGCCGCCGCACGTCGGTGGGTGGTGGACTTGGCCGGCGGGGGTGCCTGGTTCGCCGGCGACGAGGTTCGCGGCGGAGAAGCTTCGGGAGGCGGTAGCTCCGGCCGTTTCAGGCTGCAAATGAGAGGGGAAACGGAGGGGAAATGATCAGGGAGATGCAGGGGTTCCAGATCGAGGCAAGGGGGGAGCGGGGGAGGCTTAAACCTCGCGAATTCCGGCGAGCCGACGCGGCGGAGCTCGAGCTCGATCTCGAGCTCGGAAGCTCCTGGAGAGGGGTGAGTGGTGCAGGGGAAAGCTTTGGGGTGTGAGAGAGCGAGTGGTGGCTAGAGGAGGGCTCGGGGAGGCCTTTAAGTAGGCGAACGGCGGTCCACCGTGGGCTCGTGCGCCGGCGGGCTTGTGCTCGTTGCTACGGGCCTCGGAAGGGTGCTGCACCGTGTCTGGGGTGTTCGTGGGGGTCGACTACGCCCAGGGGAAGAAGAGAGAGAGGGAGCAGGGGGCCAGAGGCACCGCGCGTGTGAGCACGCTCACTGGTGCGCTCGGGCGGCCCTTGTTCGCTAGCGCGGAGGCGCGGGGAAGAGGAGAGAGGAGGGGGACGGTGCCGTGGCGTGTCGCGGACGTCGAGGCGTATCGGTTGGCGTGAGGGGGAGGGCCGAGGTGGCCGGAAGCGGCTGGAAGGGGGCGGCTACAGTGCGGGGGTGCACTGTAGCGCGCTCCAGAGCGTGCATATGGCCGGCATGGCCATTTTTCCCGCGCTCTGGGCTTGGCTACTAGTGTCTGGGGGCTCTAGGGGGAAGTAAACAAATGGGGAGGGGCATTGGATGCCCTGGATGCCCACTGGATGGAGGAGGGAGGTGAGGAAGAGGGAGAAAATGGCTGTCCAGAGAGGGAGAGAGAGATTTTCATCCCCCCAACAATTGAGTTTGAGTTAGGAGAACCTACTGGAGGTAAAATATGACTAGAAGGGGCTGTGGTAAAAATTAGAGCTCACCAAGAATAGTGGAAGGGGTCAAAACAGTGGTTTTTGCAAAATGTCAGAAGGTGTTTGATAGAGTTTTGAGCAAGCAAATGGACTCCAATTGCCATGAGACTCCACAAGGTGAAATGACTCATATAAATATAGCCTT